CAGGCCCGGCTCAAGCAATTTTACACACCTAGGCAAACTTAAGTTTTGCCGCCCCTTTACATGTAAATACTATATCAAATTTTTTTTTACATAAACATTACTAAAATATAGTTAATTCTGAGTTCATTATATTTATTTGTATAAAGTAAACAATTGATTAGATTGATATATTATTTATAGACAAGTAAATCCCTACTAATTTAAACAAAAAAAAAAAAACAATTTAAAAATAGTTATATTATAATATACAAGTTAATAAAAACATAATATATAAATGTTAACATCGTATTAGAACTTAACTTTTCTTGCTTTTGCGTTAGCGAAATCAGATACAACTTCTTCCATATCCATATTATAAACTAATTCTTTCTCTATTGAAATCATTGCAAGGCCCACTAAACGATCTTGTGACATTGTGGATCGTAAATAATTTTTAATAATTTTTAATTTTGAAAAACTTCTTTCCCCCGTGGCAGCCGTTACAGGAAGTGTTAAAAGGATTCTTAACGATATATAAGTGTTAGGAAAAAGTTCAACTAATTGATTTTCACAAATATATTCCAAAACAATTCGAGGATTAGTTTCTGTATCATTGAACCGTCTTTGCAGAGCTGTAATTTCATCATATAATTCTACTGCATTAATATCAGAAGTAAAGCCGTTATCTGATGCAAGTGCTAGTTGAAGATCTTTACAATGATTCATAAGTTCATCGCTATTTTTTATTTTGGAAATGTCATAAAGGAATGAAAATAAGCTTGCATGCTCAGAAAGTAATACAAATCTTTCGTTAATTGATTGTACAGCTCTATCTAAAATTTCATTGAAAAAGTTTACTTTGAATCTTTGTTTAGAATCAATTATGGGATCATCACGTGACTCATAATTAAACTGTGTATTTGTACGTCTAATTCTACTTTGATCTATTAATGGAAATGAATCTTCAATTCCAAGAACGTTTGCTAGTAGTTTAGCAGACTTCAATGTATTTTCAAACCCTTCATCAGAACGATATCTCATTAAAAAAAGTTTAGTTGAATCTAACTGTTTAACTGTTTCAGAAACGTCAAGCGATATTGATTGTAACATTTTACTGGTAATATTTATCTCAAATAAAATATCGTACCAAACTACCAAGCAACACAAAAATTTAAAGTTTAAAAACTTATTGATGATACCAATTGCTTCGGCGCGACTTTTAACACCAGAAGGATTTACCAACGAATCATCTTGAGATATTTCTAAAAGAGCTGAATATATTTCTTTGATTTGAAATCGTATAGCTCGTACTGCATCTAATCTGCTTTCCCAGCGGGTCCCACTAAGGGGTTTTACAGTTAGGTTATTTATGTGCTTTAATAAGACATTCCATCGATGAGTCGATGCAGAGAAAAAAACATAGACTTCTTGAATTATATTAAAGAATATAACCGCATCCAGACAACAATTTGCTGAATCATTTAAAACTAAATTTAATGAATGAGCATTGCATGGTACATAGAACGCTCTTCGGTTAAGTTGGCGAACTCTTGCTTGGACACCATTTTGTTGACCACGCATATTGGCACCGTTATCATATCCTTGTCCCCTCATGTCATCAAGTACAATACCATATTTTTTTAGTGTTTCAAGTAAAACATTAGTCATATTTAAACCAGTAGTATCATGTAATTCGATAAATGTTAAAAAATGTTCATTTATAGAAACTTTTGCAGGGACATTATCTTTCTTTTCGGTAGCTGTTACGAATCTTATAATCATTGTCATTTGCTCTTTATGACTAACGTCAGGTGTACAGTCTAAAATAATAGAATAGTATTTCGAATTTTGTACTGCTGATATTATTTTTTGTCTTATTTTGTGATCTAAAAGTTGGATTATTTCATTTTGAATATTTTTACCGAGGTAATTAGTATGTATGTCTTGAGATGTTATTCTACTAATATGCTCTTTTATTATAGGGTCAAATTTTCCCAGAAGTTCAATAAACTTCAAAAAATTCCCATTATCGAACTCGTATAATTTATCAGAACTGCCTCGTAAAGCTAAATTTTGCATTCCTAAAGTTTGAATAAGAGATATAACTCTTTCAATGACGGCTTTCCAGTGTTTTGTTTCTTTACGAATTAAAGCTTGATTTTCATCGTCGATAGTTTTTCCTTGCATCATTCGAGTCTGAAGAATTTTCCAATCTTCATATGCAATCTTATGATTTGGAGAGTTTTCATGCCGTTGTAGTATTTGAGATATATTTTTCCAGTCTCTGGTACCTTGCTTAGAGAGAGAAGATATATCTTTTTTAAATAATTTGCAGCAAAAACAAAATACTGAGTCACTTGACTCTGAATAAATAAGCCAGGTCCTATTAAGCTTTTCTCCATTAGATAGTGTCTTAAAGTAGTGAACATTAGAAAACTTTCTTTTAGAATCATCTAATGGGTAATAATTTAAATTTATTTGAAGGGGATTATTTTTGACTAATAGTAACTTAATTCTATCATTTATCACAGGCCACTTTGCAGGGTCCTTAATAATTTCAACATCTAAATTTAAATTGTCATCTGAATTGTCCATTTTTGAATTTAAATCTGTAACATCAGATCTTACATCTTTATCGTTAACTTCAGATCTTTCATCTTTATCGTTAACTTCAGATTTAACAATATCATCATTATCCTTAATAATATCAACCTCTAAATTTAAATGGTCATCAGGATTATCGTTTTCCAAGTTAAAATCTGTAACTTCTGTATCTTCAGTATCTTCATCGATAACTTCAGATTTAACGGAATCATCATGTTTGGATTTAAAAAATTTAAGCATTAAGCCGGATTGTTTGGCAATTTCAGCTTCTGCCGCAGCACGTCTTTTTCTATACTCCGATCCCGAAAAACGGTGTCGCTTTTTAGTATTACCCACGTCAGAGTTAGTTGAGTTAGACATTCTTGAATTATTATTATATAATAAGATAGGTACCTAAATTAAATAATTTAATCATTACTCATTAGATCCCTTCATTTTACTAATACATAATATTATTATATATTTGTAATCCACGTGACAACTGAGGTTATAAATATCGCGCAACTCACGAAGGGATATAATTAATATATAATAAAATATATACGTCACCTATATAGGTATATATTAGGTCACATTAATAAGACAAATAATAACTCAAATCGGTTGAGTCATTAGGACAAACAAAAATTGAGTTATCAAAAATTCAAGTTATAGAAAAAATTGGGGCCAAGATAGGTTCCTTGAGTCATTGAAAATTCGACTTATAGAGGTATATATACGTTAGAGCCGTTGAGATTTCGCTGTATATTATATTTTATAAATAATTATTGCGATTTAACAGGACAAAATAAAATAATATTGAATGTGTAAACGCGGTAGATTTTAATAAAACCGAAGAACGTCCCATCTCCCATGACAAAATTATTAGTAGAAATCGTTTAGTACAATAGTACGATATTGATTTATACGTCATAATATCGATTTAAATTGATAAATAAACTTAATAAATAATAATTTCCGTACAAAAATGTGTATCATAATCCATAAAGATAATTATTTTAAATTTAAATAACATAAAAAAATTTGATGTTAAATTTTTATAATTTATAAGAATAGATACCTGTAATTTGTAAATTTATTGTATGGCCAACTGATGTCTGATGAAAGTCGGCAGGCAAAAGAAAATAAAATCATTAATATTAACTTATCTGTAATCGTCGATCGGTATTCGGGACCTATTTATAGTCAATAATATTCGTCAACAGTGCGTTTTGTGGAAGAGTAATATTGAAAACAACAAAACGCGTTATCGGGGCCAGATAAAAGACTGATTCACGGAACCGATTAAAAACCGTCAAGACTCAAGAGAACACCGTAACTTGTTGCGGTCGACGGTCGACCAAAAGCGTACATTTATATTTGTCCGATCATACTGACCAAATTTTATATTTTTACTTTTTATTTTTTACTACCCACGATTTGATATAAATAAGGAATCTTTTTAAAAACTATCTATTATACAAAAATGTTAAATGCCGCCCCTGAAAAATGCCGCCCTAGGCGTGGGCCTATATCGCCTACCCCTTGAGCCGGGCCTGCATACACGACACACGTTATGTATACTTCATAGAACAGCATTTGCTGTAATAATTTTGCAATTATTTAAATAACTCGATAAATTAATATTTATTA